GTAAAATGGCGTTTGTTAATTAGATACAAGGTGTTGAAGTTTAATTTTTAAAATCGTTTTTCTCTATAGCTCAAGACATTTTTATGATAGCAACATGAAAATTTTCCATAACATTTTTGCTGATTCCGCTTGATTACATTTTATTCAAAAATATGGTAGATTGGCGATGTTCAAGTGAAAACGATAAGCTACATTTATTCCGATTTATCAAACCCTTTACTATCATACAGTAAAATGGCCAACTCAAACACAATTCACAAGTTTGTTAATAGTGAAATATGCTATGGATGAGACAAAGTACGTACCATCCTATATTTAATCGGATATTTTGTGTACTGAAGTATATCTTACACAATTGATCAAATGTCCATTTCCATAACGGAACTTGGAAGGCAAAAACGTGTTACCAACATAGAAAATACGTCCGCACGTCAAAACATTCAACTTACAAAAATGTTTGTCATAAGCTCGGAATAGTGATATGGAGCACGTTCACGATCCTTTCTTGTGCGCCATTATTCCAATGTGGCGGCGCGAGTGGAAACCATATGAGGCAGAAAGGATTGGAATGTTGAAATCTAAAGGATATCTTGCTCTTCTCAAAACTTCCGCCTACCAGCCCATTAGCTAATTTCAGACAGCACATAGAACTGCCTAGGAGCCAGAAAAATCACAAGATCCGAAATTAATGTCAGGATACTCTTGGTGTCAGACTTTCTCTGTCACTCAGCTTTATCTTGAACTGAAATAAAAAAGATGGCATCAAGCAGACTGACTCTGTACATCCCCCGAAATCCTGTTATCTTCAAACCTAACCCCACACAACCTACTTGGAACTGATTTCTAAGTTACATTATTTTTTTATATAACGTGAAAAAAATAACCACGCACACGAATAATAAAAACGAATGGGCCAAGCCTGTTCAAAAAATAAACATACATGAAATTGAACTTGACTGGTTATATTCCTGTACGTAAAGGATTATTTCCAAATTAATGTTTGCTTGCATGTTCTCCATATTTGTAAATACGAAAATCAATATTCATACTCGTATTTCTGTTTCAATGACAAATGTATGGAAAACTATTGGTAATACCTATTACACACTTGTAATAGGACGTTTTTCACTGATACCAAAGATGCAACAATTACAATCACCTATAACATCCAATCCCCGATTTTCATCCCATCCGAAAAAAAATTCTGAAAAGCGGGAGTCTCTGAAATATCAAAAATGATGTTTGGGCGATTTCTTTATTCGGTTTTGTCCTTGAAAGAACCGACATCCAAAAAACGTCATTACATTTTTAGAAATTGCGAAATACATGAGCTTGTAAAAATTGAATCCTAAATAGTAACACAAAATATAATTTTGTCACCACCACTCAAGTAATCGATTGTATAAAACTGTAAATTTTTTAACCATTTAAAGAGTGTCGTCAGTTATACAGGGTCTTTTCAAAGTTGAGTCATTTATTTTAACTGCTTGTAGGACTCGTGAAAATGAGTTGATATATCAAAAATCACCTATATAAAAGTTGCTTAATAAAATAAATAGTAAACGATTAAAAATTTAAAAAAATAAGAACGTTATTACACAGATTTTTTTATATTCTCAGCAACCAATCATCCAAGCAATGTAGTATGTTATATATGTATATGTAATAAAATATCATCATCATTCCTGTAAAATAAAAATGTCTCAATCTGGATTTTTTAAACAAAATATACGAGTATTCATATTGTATTGGACATAAAGATGGATCCTTTCAAAAGAAGAAGATTGATACAACATACTGTGATGTTATGATGATTAGTTGTTGAGTTAGTCCGCCATTCTGGAACATAGCGACTTTATACACATCAGAAACTTCAAATTTATAGAATGTTGCAGCCGTCATCTTGATATTTTCAAATGTTATTTTTACGTATATATATATATATATATATGTGTCAATGTTATAATCCCAAATTACTTGATTAATTCAAAAAATATGTTGAGGCGACCTGCACTGTATAATATTAGCAGCTTGTCAGAACTAGTGGAAGCTTTTAAAACATGTAAGGGAGGATAGGTAGAAATGTATGGACATTTATAAATGTTACATAAGTGAAAATACCTTTTATGGTAAGCCATTTTTCTTTGCAACTCTTTGTTGATACTAGTGACATATTTGTACTTATTTGTAACGAATTTTAATTGTTTTTTCAAACCATGTGACATTTATACAAATAGTATTTTTTTCATAAAATTATGGTCATTTTTCAACATCTCAACCATATTTGTATGAATAATAACAATTAGAAAATATTCTCAAGATTCCACAGTTACCCTAACTACTTCTATACAAACATACGTTCCACTTTGAATCATTTATTTTCTGATGTATATACAAAAATTTTGGGCATATGAAAAATTGGGGCTCAATAGATGATGCATTACATTTTTTGAAAAAAATTATTTTTCTAGCAGTCAGATACTTTCAATCTGTCATAATTCTAGATTTCTTATTTATATTCCAAATAATAAGTTATCATGGAACTTCACATTTTTTATACAAAACATGTATTTTTATAAAATAAATATTTTTAAGGGGGTGTTCTATAGATGCGACTGACGACATTGATGGGTCAACTGAAGCTAGAAATAATTTGAATTTTAAGGATATCTATGTCTTTTTTGCTTATTTGGCCAATTGTGCAAGTATTTTCTCTCCGCCATAGCACCCACTAAAAGTGCAATTTACAACTTTATGAAAACAGAAGTTATGCTCAAAACCTGTATGTTGTTCCCTAGCTATTTAATTAAATGATTTAATATAAAAACGAAAATGTTATGGCTTCCGGAATTATTAGATTATTAATCTATGAAAACCTTGAGATTCAATGTAAATGTACTGTTGTATGAACAAACATATTCAATGTCAATGCAAAATAAGGCTGAACTATACTTGCATAACGCAAATATTACATTTCTTATTTCAAAATGAAAGATTAGGATGTAACTTGCGCGAAAATAGCATTTTTTTCTTTAAGGAACCCTCTGCTTGTTATTTTATAGAGCTTCAAAGTTGCATTTTGTGTGGTATGGAATACTGCTTTATAAGCTGTTTTTTTCTTGCTTACACAACAGATTGCTCAAAATTATATAAATATAACATACAATGTAAATTACTGTGACACTATTCATCGCAATAATGCAACTTTGCATTATTTTAACGATGAAAATAGTTCATTGGTAAGTAGTCATTTCTTTTATTTGAGATGAATATTCCCATCACTAGACCACCATCACTATCCTACTCTCTCCATCTAGTTGCTATGTTGCCAAATCATGGATAGTTATATACCCTAATTTGGTTTGTTGAATTCTTATAGGCCCCATACACCTGCGAACAAATTGCGCAACGGAGCCTGTTGTACCAACAATTGTGTAGTGTATGGGGTTGTTTGACGTGCTGCGCAACGGGTTGCAGAAATTCAAAATAGTTTGATTTTTATTGCACAACCAGCGGCGTTGCGCAACTAGTTGCAGAGTATATGGGCTATTCTGCAGACACGTTGTGCAATAACTGATTGTTTGTCCGAGTTCCACGTGCTTAGTTTTGAAAATGAGCGGTTGTTTTGGAAATAACAAAGAATTTTTAAGCGATTTTATTGATTTATATCGTCAGTTACCGGCAGTATGGAAGGTGAAGAGCGATCTCTACAAGAATAGAAATATGAAGAATTTGGCCTATGAAAAACTAGTTGAAAAACTTAAAGAAGTCGAACCTAATGCCGACAGAGAGATGGTGCGGAAGAAAATTAATGTTTTACGCAGTGCCTATCGGAGAGAATTAAAAAAAGTAATTGCAAGTCATAAATCAGGGACAGGAACTGAAAGTATTTACGAACCAAGCTTATGGTACTTCAAGGAATTAGATTTCTTGAGGGATCAAGAAACCCAAGTACCTACCTGGAACCTCTACCATGAATGACCCATTTTATGAGATTGATAATGAAGACGCAGTAAGTAAACAATTTATATTTTAATTCTGTATTCATAGGAGTATCGGTAAAAAACTAGTTAACATTATTAATTTACAATTATTGCTGAAATATCTTGTTCTGCCATGGAACAGCTCCAACAGTATTAAAATAATTACAAAACTGTGCTCTTATTTGTTTTGCTACAGTGGTAGTGTTTCTTCCTCGGAGTGCCTGTAGTTGTAATAATGTAGGGTCTGCTCTCCAATCAGCATTTGCAACCTCTCCACTATTTATGTTTTCAACATCTATGCCACCTTGATAATACGACTCTACTTTGTAATGTCGCAAGAAGTTGTGCAAGTGGCAGCATGTCAGTACTATGATGACAGCTTTTTCTGGACATAGGTTAATTTCATTTAACAGAATTCTGAAGCGAGAAGCTAGTATCCCGAACGCATTTTCAATGATTCGGCGGCTACGTGACACCCTGTAGTTATAAATCATTTCTTCGTTGCTGAGGGTTTTCTTGCTAAATGGTTTCATCAAATTTTCCATAAGTGGAAAAGCATCATCCCCTACAAAAACATAGGGCAATTTGATATTAGTCGATGTTAAATTTTCTGGTTCAGGAATGCACAGATCTTTTTCTACAAGTTTTTTACAGAATGCTGTATTGGAAAAAACCCCTCCATCAGAGACTCATCCATTTGCTCCCACATCAGCCATCAAAAATTCATAATTTGCATTTACGATTCCCATTAGAACAATGCTAAACGAATGTTTGTAATTAAAGTAATATGAACCAGTTCCAGGTGGCTTAAATATTTTCACATGTTTGCCGTCTATCGCCCCAAGACAATGAGGAAAATTCCACTTCCTCGCAAAAGCTTCAGCCTCATTTCTCCATTCATTTTCACTTTGTGGTAGCTGAAAAGAAAACATGGTGTTATTTTTATAATTGTATTTTTAGAAGTTTGCATGGTGTTATTTGTTGGTATTATTTTTATAATTATTTTTGTAATTTTAAATGTCTGCATGCTATATCTCTTTTTTGTTGCAGGATTCTTCCCAAGACAGAAGTAGTCAAGGACCCAATACACCTCCAGGAAGGCATGCAGCTCCAGAATCGCCCACACCACCAGAAACAGATACAGCCGCAGATACATATACACTTTCAGAAATGGATGTACCGGTTACTCCTATACAACGTAGAGCTAACAAACGAAAAGGATCAACTGAATTTGAGGAATCACAAACACGGAATGAACTATTGAAAATGGCTTGCGAACATCTTCGCACTTCTAACAAGGAAGTGGAGATTTTGGCAAAAAGTTGGGCATTAGAGTTCATGAAGCTCTCATCAGATCAGCAAATTTATGCTAAAAAAGCCATAAATGATGTTTTATATGAAGGGCGCTTGGGAACTTTACATAGACATTCAGTTGTTATAAATGAACCCCCTGTACGTACCCCCCTTGAAATTTCATCCTGCCAATCATTCTCGTCACATTCAAATTCTGTCCCATCATTCCCGTCTCCAAACCCAGTACAGGTAACTGATGATACTACACAACTACAATATACGGTAATAGGAGAACTACTCACTGACCCACAATATAACTAAGGATATAGTAGTAGTATATAGTATGTTAATCTTAGTTTCTGGTTTATGTTAAAAAGAATAATAAAATAATACATTTATTACCTTTAAATATTTCTTCAAAACCTTTATGATTATGATTGCTTCACAGGTCTCGATGATAATATGTCCAAGGGTTTGAGCAGCAATCGCAGTTTCAAATTTTAAACCCTCAAATGTTAGTCCAGATGCAAGATATCTTAGAGTAACAAACAATCTCTGCTTGGGAGATATCGCCTCTCTCAATATTGTGTCTTTTTTTTGTATATATGGTGTTACCAGAGCCAATAATTCGCCGAAAGTAGTGGAATTCATTCGTAAATAATTTTTATAATCTAAAGGTGAACTCACTTGAAGTTCTTTAAGGAGATTTGCGTGACTAAAAAGAGATCTTTTCTTTAACCACTCTTTCATCCAAATTCTCTGCTTCCGTTTTCTTTTATTAACGCCAACATCACAGGCTGCAGCAATTATTATAGCTAGACAGGCTGCGTCATTAGACGGCATGTTGAGGTGCATGAGTACAACTCACAACTGAAGTTTGCATAAAATTGCATAGTAAATTGCATAGTGTGTGGATCACCTTGTTTGTACAACCACTTTTTGTGCAACATCCGTTTGCGCAATTTGTTCGCAGGTGTATGGGGCCTATTACTTATATACTACACCCTGTGCCCTACGATAGCGTTAGCTAAAAACACTTTTTTGAAGAATGCCTTATGCCCTTCACAAAAGTACTTCGGTTATTGTTTTTCCTATATTATAGTTATAATATATTTACATTTTGTATGTATTTACTTGAAGAATTATTCAAAGTGAAGCTGATATCATAAAATATACCTAATTAAGGGCCGATTTCACCAACATTAGTATTATGGACCAACAGGAAAATACCTTATCGAAATGCAATTTGACGGAAGCTGTCAAAGGTCTCAGAATATCAGTGATTTCTATTAGAATGTTGAATAAAATCGTGAAAATTCGACTGTATTATAAACAAGACCACTTTTTGATTCCAACGTGATGCTTTTGTATAGAGAAAACAGGACCACTTTCATGTATTTTGATTTATGTTATAGGTGTACATTTGACCATCCGTTATCCCCTCAGCGAATGGGAATGGGAGAAATAATAGGTCGATTTTCTAGCTGTTAAATTTGGCAGCAGGTTTGGTCGTTTGTTAATTCATGGCAATCTCGAAATTTGTTCACGTCAATATACTGTGTGTATATGTGATCATTATAGCTACACATACCTGTTGAATTGTGCGGATTTGCAAGAAAGTAGAATATAAAATGTATTCCAGCCAATTCCTCATCTCTCTTTACATGATAATAGTATCTAATCATTTGTTATAAATTCATGGGTTAATGAATTTCTTCAAAGCAATCAAAACAGTATGGTCGTCCCCATCCTAAAACACCGATATGTATAAAACATGTTAATCCCTACATCTCCGAGGTGCAAAATGCAATTACTGTAGACATAGACTTAAAATTGTTAGTAATTACTGAAAAATAAGAGCTATAAAGAATTATAAATAGTGATAAAATATTGGTGGTTAAGGTTTTTGACTGGTGACTGGTGGGGATACAATATAGGGATGGCTACGATAGGCGATACATTGATGTATCGAAAACATCGATACATCGCACGTAGAACATCGATCTTTACGCATCGATGGTTTCATGACGATATGTCACTATCGAGAGGAATCATAAACATCCGTAACCGTATACCCCCAGTCTATCCTTAACTGTGCTACCATCTCTAAGCGAGGACTGGTAGCTTCGAAATTGAAAGACCAGAAAGCTATTTAGGTGTTTAGTAGTATTTGAATATTATCATTACAGACGAGCACTGAGCCACTGAGTGGCCACTGAGCACTGTAGTCTTTTCTTCATTCTGTACTTCCCCAAGGGATAGAATAAAATAAACTGAAAACAGCGCGTTTAATGATTTTCAGTTCTCAGAGAAAGATTTTCCCCTGCCGGCCCTTGACATCGTTTCGAAATATAAAATTCTGGAAACGCTATAAAAATAAATTAATATTGTTTGAACTTTCAAATATTTCTTATAAACGCAAAAACTTTGATCTCATTGAGAATACGCGAAGAAAATAGTTAAGGAATTTTAGGAAGACATTGAAAAATCATAGCACAACACCTGTACACACTTTTCCGAGTAAATACCATTATTTACGGTATGTATTTTGAACTGTCATTTTAGCTTATTAGACTGGCAATCACTAGCGCCTCGTCTTCAAACATAATTTTAACATAAATAAATGTATGTACTTATTGCGATAATTTCAATTAATATCTAAATCGTTAAATAATTAAAAATCAATTGTCCTAATCTAAGTCGAACACATAACACTGACGTGTATTCGAACCGCAGTGAAGTCGGAACTGGAACCGAATCGGAACAGATCATGACTAGAGATGGGTAGTTGGAATCGTTTGGAAAACAGAGCTGCACTTAGTGAAAATTCATACATCTATAAAACCTCAGAACAGGATTGCTACATGCAACAGTTTTGTAATCCTACGTTATCAATTATAAATGTTATTGAATATAAGTAGGTACTAAGCTTTTACGGAAAATCAGAAGTCACAAACGTCACAAAACAAAACAAACGGAAAAGGCACAAAAGAATACACAATATTTAAGTTATATCCATGAATTGACATTTGACATACAACAACCGCCTGAGCATGCTTGTTATTGGTCTTAACTGCCAGAAACTGTGACGTCACAAAGATCCAGTTCATTTCGTCATCATTTGACAGCTGTTACAAACCTTGTCGCTTAAAATAAAATAGTCAAAACCAGACACGACCGGATATGATTGGTAGATCCCTTTTTTGTCATAGAGGGATGTTGCCTGATAGCAATCTGACAGCACTGTCACAACAAAATAAAATGGCGGCATTTCACAAGTATGACGACTTACTTCTGCCATTTTTTAAATTTCCGCCGAAAATCTAAATCACCTAAGTTCTGTTTTCTGTGTATGCCGCCAAGGCTAGTTTCAAAATATTAAATTTTTCGATTTGGTCTATGTTATATTAAATTTTATCTGAATAATACGTATGAACAGAACAGTGGTATTTTTGAGGCCGACGATTAAACTGAAATGACATAATCAACCTCGCTTTCCTGTGGATTTCTTGGAAAAAGGTTTAGCAATGGGGATCTTCACACATAACGGCTATTGTGAATTTCTAGATGTTTCAAAACTCACATTTATATGGAGAGCTTTGAGAAGTTCAAAAACCAGAGTAAAGGCACAATTCTCTCCAGGCAATACCTGTGAACAATTTAATGGTTCAGGATCATGGCTGGTGTAAGCTTATGTAAAATTTTTATAGCTTCTTTGTTATTATCGGTGTGTTCATTATTCTGTGGTTGATATAAAAAACTTACTACAGTTTTTGCATTTTTCGTACTAAAATATGTGCTTCAACATGATGGAATAACAGTCCAGTCGACATAGTCATAAATAAGTTGCAAGTGTGTTTTCGTTACAATACTTTGAACCCTTGCAAGATACAGTACTTGGAATTTTATTCAACAAGAGTTCCTCTCAGTGCACCAATAGGTATTTCATAGCTTTTATTTTTTTTTTCGGGTTCGAGTACAATGTTGTTTGTCAGCAACAATTGGAAAGTATCTTGATGATATAAGTATCTCTCCATGTCCCTGATGGCGTATTGGGCTACAGTCAACGAGTCCATGGGCCAAATTCCGGGGAAGGTGCTGTTCGGGCGTAAGCTGTGGCTAGCTTGCTACCTCTAGAAGTCGATCCGGAGCCGATGTGACAGAGGATGACTACATATCCACCCTGGAGATAACGACGAAGATGTGCGCAATCAAATGAAAATTATGAGGGTTCGGAAGAACCGCTACTACGTACATGCCGAAGAGGGTGGCTATCAGCAGAGCGACCTGGTGTGGCTGTCCAACCCCCAACGGAAAAAGGCTTTTCACCGAAGCTGCAACAGTTCTGGGATAGTCCTTAGGGTCTTCACCGAAGGTCCGAAGAGCAACAACCGCCGGTTGGGACGGTGCTGTGTGTTCCGGATGGTGGTCGATTCATTCACACACTATCGAGCAATGTGGGATGTCCTGAGAGACCTACAGCAACACCTGATGGCCCGGAATGTCCGGAAGCTGGCGATGCCGAAGCTGAAATGTGAGAGAGATGGACTGGACTGGAGGGCCGTGCGGAATATATGCTGGAGGTGTTGTTCCAGCATACGGTCGTGGAAATCCTGGTTTGCAGCGATGCCTTCCTGCGGAGAGGTGTCCAGGAGAAAATGGTGCCATGCCACTTTTACAACGAAATGGCCTACCTACCGCTATCGTCATGATCCAGGGTACCCGATTCGGGATGAAACGGTCTTGAGGAAAGGGCAGTGTATAATGCTCTCGTAACTGGGACCTTCAGTGGCAATGGGACGGCGTTGCAGAGTCGACGCCTAGGCAACCAGTTATGCGAACTTGCGTCTGCGCTTGAGGCGAAATCTAGAAGTTTTGGGCGAGGCTACAAATGTATCTACTGCCGCCGCGATTCGGCCCGGAAAACGCTGGAACGGTTCTCGGCTTGTCCACAGGGAAATAAATACTGACCAGGTGGCTAACGCAGGCAGTCACAGTCGAGCCAGTGGACATGGAATGAAGATTGAATAATAGTCCAGTCGACATAGTTATAAATAAGTTGCAACTGTGTTTCCGTCACAGTGCTTTGAAACCTTGCAAGATACAGTAGTTGGAATTCTATTCAAAATAAGCATTTATTTGTTTATTTATTTTCAGGTGTAATGATGTTTGTCAGCAACTTTTGACAGCCGTTCGTGGATATTAAATATTAATCAAGTAATCCCATTAAATTACACTCTCATGACCGATTTCAAGAAGATTTAAATTTGACCGGGGCTTCCACCAATAAGGGAAGCTTATCGAATTGCAACTTGACGGAA